TGTAACCTAGCAAAATCCAAATTGTAAACTGATTTCTCTAATGTAAACTAATGCATCTTAAAGGCAAAAGTTTGTCCTCACTGACTTGTATTGCTATGGCATTGCTATGACCGCATTTAAAGCATAGTTTAAAATTGCTTCTAATCATTTCTAATAAGCCTTTGGTCAAATAAATGTGTAATGATACACATTATGATAATAGGGGTGACTATGGGTTATATTCTAGAAACGCACATGCATGCACTCATGGTGGAAAAAAATCAATCTGGAAAGATCCAAGTGTAAGATTCAGCCATGAGTCATTAAGGGGTGATTTTGGTGAGTCATTCTCTTCCAGCCTAATTTACTTCACAGGATTGTTGTAATGGGTGAAATTGGGGGGGGGGGATACTATATATGCCCTTTCCACTTCATAAAGGAAAAGTGAGATATAAAATAAAATTAATAAACAGGTGATAAATTAATAGCTGGAACCAGCCCTGCATTCCATTTGGTTGATTTCTTAGCACAGGGTTCCCCAACTCCAGGGCTGTGGCCCACTACCAGGCCTGGAGCTGTTTGGAACTGGGCCACGGAAGTGGCAGGGAAATGTGCACACGCGCATCCCCATTTGCACAAGCGGGTGTGCATGCCCAACCCTTGCACAAATGGAGCTGCAAACACGCGCTTGCCTGCCACTCACACTGAACTATCCCCTCTCCGGTCCCTGCCGGGCCACAAAGCTGGAAAGGTTGGGGGACTCTGTCTTAGCAGATAAAAGTGATCTCAAGATAGAACTTAAATACAGTATTCTACTGATAATTGTAACATCATCTTCGTATTGTAGTATTTTTGCTAAAGATTAACTTCTGCTTTTTCAGAAAGATTCAGTGGGTAGAAAAACAATAGGTAGAGAACAAAGGTAGTAACTGTTTACTTATTGAAAACCAACAATTTCTAGTGACCCAAAATCTTTTAAAAAAAACAAACCTCTTACATTAAGTGAAAAGTTATAATAACAAATTGGTACAAATTTATAACTGAATTGATATATAATAGGTCTTTTATTAACTGGAGCCCTTGATATGGTTCTCTTAGATAGGTTATGGATGCTTTGATAGCCTTGTTTAATAACACAAAGTAATACTCCAAACTATTGAAGATAGCTACAAACATACACTTTAAAAGAAAAAAAAAACCAGATATGCCTTATATAACTTAACAACATAATTGGTGTTTTCTTCTTCCAGTATTTAGCATTTCATGATATTGCAGCAAAATTGAAAGTGTTACACATCTCATTCATACAAAAGATTGTTTAGAACCCAGACCATTATTTTAACCCTGCCACTTTAAAGATTACTGTAATGGATCCATCTTATGTTATGCATTCCCATTTCTGTATATTACTTATTTTGTGGTAAATTACATGACAATCTAGCATGAACATTTTATGTTATTGGATGAAGGAGAAGAATCCATGAAAAGCAAAACGCTAAGCATTCCACTCCTTTTTATTGCAGTTCTGCTGGATGTTTGCGTAAAATTCCAACATATGTCAAAGTTTTGAATAGCTAGGGAGATTCTGCAACTTATGAGAGGCTTGTCTAGTAGATTAGGATATTGTATGCAGGCTGAAATTGTTTCTATATTTGTATTTTTGCCCCTGGCTATTTAAAATTTTGCCATACATCTTGTAGTATAAATAGTTTAGCAGGAAAAGCTGCTCTTAATTCTCGCTTAAAGCTAATCTGTAAAAAGGAGTAGCATCATAATCAAGTTTGAACATTATCAAAGTTTGAAACTTCTATTTTTATAGGTGTTAAAGAGACACGCACTGCCACTACAGAAACTCTGTCAACAAGTGAACTACCAGACTTCTTTGTGTAAGTGACTAATCTTGGACAAAGGGGTGGGGCAGTAAAAAAACATGTTTTTGTAGCATTGCCTAGAGTGATGAACATTTAAAATGTAAGAATTACCAGGGTTTTTATTTCAGACCTGTATAAAAATGTTTCACAATTATGCAATTTAAGTTAAGTTAAGCTGACGAAGAAACTCCACTTGCTAGGTTTTACGGGGGATGCTCTGGGAGATTATGGTCTCAAGGACGCCCAGCTTAGGGTAGTCCAACATAGACTGTGGACATAGATTTGCAATATTTAAGAGCCAGAGCCAACAAAATCTGCTCCCCTTTGATCTTCAGCCATTCTAATAAT